ACTTATAGTTATCTCCTCTTTCCTGCAGCTCTCCTTCCTCCATCTGTTCTCCCCCCCGTGCTGCCTTTGTTATTTTATTTTTTAGCTCACAGGGGAGCCAGATTTATCTCTTATCTGTTCCGTCTCTCTAAAGGTGAAAAAGTGTGCCTTCTTTTCTTTCCTTTTCCTGCTACAGAATGTGTAGGAACTGCTTGTGTTACTCGACTGTGCAGCTTGTTTGTGCTCCTATAATTGAATATGTTTGGTTTGCTTTGACTTTTTTTTTTTTCCTGCCCACAAGTAATTAACACAGAAAGCCTTACGCAGGCTCATTGGAGAGCTCTGGGAAAGCTCAATTATTTACATCTCCTATATATCCAGCATTTTAAAATAGTGAAAGTTATGCTTTTCATTAATTTGTTTAATGTTTATCACAACATTAATCCCGTAGGAGAAGCGATGCATCATAACAGACTTAATGACTAATTCCTATCTCAATGCTCATTGCACCAGATGTTGGAAAACAGTGGGAAAAAAAGCCCAACACTGTTCTCTGATGTCTTGTTTTGTCATGATCCTGTCAGCACCTTGCTCCATTTTCTTGTATTTTTTCTTTTTCTTTGTGTTTCTTGTCCGACCTCTGTCCCTCTGGTTTCCTCAGTATGTATACATTTGCGCCTCTTTTGCCTGAGATGACCAGCAGGGGGACACCTTGCTAACAATCAATCAACACTCGTTGTCTCTGTGCTGCCCCCTACTGAGGGGAGTTAGGAAAAGCAGTTAAAGTTAAAGTCAAGTTGTTTCTTTGTATGTAATATGTGATCGAGAGCACATGGTGCCTGCATGTCCAGACCTCACTGCCTGAGCCGTTACCTGATGTTTGCCTTGGACAAGAATCGTCCTTAAGTGTTTATTCTATGTTTTGTAATATGTTAGACGTCATATATTAGTTATTAGAACTACACCTTTGTGTCGTAACTTTATTTCCTCTATCGTTTTTCTGTTTACAAGACTGAAGCGGAAAGCAAAAAAAAAAGAATAAATTGCTACGGTTTCAAGAAAAGCATGCCTTGTGACTTCCTATGTAAGCTAACTGTCTAGCTCGGACAAAATAGAAGCGTCTAAGTGAGGGCAGTATAGTGTCATCATCAAACCCAGCACCTGAAGCATAGAAAACTCAGCTTTACTCTCCATTTCCCACCAGATCACTCTGGCGATGCAAAGCCTCTGAGGAACCAGGCCACCAGACGACTGCCTTGACCAAAGAGGCAGGAATCTATCGACTGCTCCAGACCTCTGACCACAGGGCCGGGTATCCATCTACTGCCAGTGACTCTGAGGTGTAAGTGAAACAAACAAAGAGAGCTTTAATGGCATGTTACTCAGCTGATGCCTTGGATCTGATGAGACTCTCTTTTAAAGACAGACGTAAGCTTATGGCTTGTGATGCTCATGTCTTGTGACAGAACAGTCAAATTTCTTTAAAACCTTGTGAGAGTTTGAACAGAAAATAACTTTAATGTGCATCTTGCGTAATGTTATTTCAAACTTACACCGGTACAGGTGTAGTTTTTATAGCCAAGTTTACACTCAAATGAATCGGTCTGGTTTTGTCTACCTTTGATTTCGTACAATGCGACGCTTTCGTCGGGACTTCAGATTTAACACGTCTCAACAAAGCTGCAACTGAGAATCTTTACATCACCATGACAACCAAGGACAGTGCCCAATTCACGATATCCCATGCCATTAAGTCAAACGTACAAAGGGATAGAAAAGAAACAAAAGTCAATGCAGAATTTCACTTTTGTCAACAACTCACATTTGGAGCAGTACGCGTGACTTTTGCAAGATTTGTATTATTGCTCTTAAAGAATAAAACTAGTTTGTAAAGCTAAGAAATGGGTGACTGTGTGGTGTGTTTCAGCGAATGCTTTGGAGACGATTATCACCGACAGAAGAATGAATTTGAAAAGTCCGTCTCTGCCCAATGAAAACTTGAGAATTTAAACAAACAACATAGATGTCTGAAACGGGGCCGTAGGTTTTATTTCACATTCACTGTCATTAAAACCAAACTATTGCCTTTAGAGCAGATGAGAAACTAAAGCAGGGAGAACGCAGAAGTATCCTCCAAATCGACAACTAAATAAAAACCTGTCAAAATACTGGAAACACATTAAAGCTGTGCCTCTAGTGCCAAGTCTTTTTTTTTTTTTTTTAGAGGTAAAGGAGGTTAAAAGAAATGTATGTAGTCAACTGCATCAAAGGAAACAGAAAGATCAAAAAAGAATTAAAACACAGAAATCCCCAGTAGTGGCAGGAAGCAGAGGATCATTAGTAAATTTAGGCGAAAGGCAGTCTTTCTCAGTGTGGTTCATTAAGATATGAATTGTGTTTTCTTCTCTGGTAGAAATGACAATTAAATATTAAATGTAAACTTACAGGTTTCTGTGAAAGTGACAGAACTACAGCATTTTGAACAGTTTGGGACACAGCTAATGGTGGGAACAGTGACAGCTGGCTTGAAGAAAATGAGGTTTT